CAACTAGTCCAGTCCCCTGCACTGAGGCAGGGCCAAATATACTTAGACCACCCCTGACAGGTGTTTGTCCAGCCTATTCTTAAAACCTCCAGTGTGGGGGATTCCACAACCTCCCTTGGAAGCCTGTTTGAGCTTAAACTATCCCACATAGTTAGAAAGTTTATCCTAACATCAAATTTAAATCTCCCTTGCTGCAGATTAAGACCATTACTACTTGTCCTACCTTCAGTGGACATGGAGAACAACTGATCACCATCCTCTTTATAACAGCCCTTACCACATTTGAAGACAGTTAGCATATTCTCCCTCGTGTGTCTTTTCTAAGACAGAACATGGCCAGTTTTTCTAATCTTTCCTCAGAGGTCAGGTTTTCTAAAGCTTTTATCATTTTTGTTGTTCTCCTCTGGGTTCTCTCTCATTTGTCCACATTTTTCCTAAAGTGTGGTGCCTAGAAATGGACACAAGACTCCAGTTGAGGCCTCTTGTGTCTAATATACAACACTCCTGTAAATACATCCCAGAATGCTATTAGCCTTTTTCACAACTGCATCACATTGTTGACTTGTATTCAACTTGTGATCCAATATAACCTCCAGACCTTTCCAGCGGTACTACCATCTAGACAGTTAGCTATTTCAGGGTGTGAGTTTTTCACACTCCTAACCCACAGACAAAAACTCTTTAAGTGTAGATGAGGCCTTATTTTGAGCTGCCCCAGCCCCTTGTGTGCATCATCCCAAGATTCCCCCTCCTTGTATTACTTGGTCCCCATCTTAAGACCATAAGAACAGCCATACTGGGTCAGACCAAAGGTCCATCTAGCCCAGTATCTGTTTTCCAACAGTGGGCAATGCCAGATGCCCCAGAGGGAATGAAAAGAACAGGTAACCATCAAGTGATCCATTCCCTGTCGCTCATTCCCAACTTCTGGCAAACAGAGGCTAGGGACACCATTCCTGCCCATCCTGGCAAATAGCCATTGATGGACCTATCTTCCATGAATTTATCTAGTTCTTTTTTGAACCCTGTTATAGTCTTGGCCTTCACAACATCCTCTGGCAAGGAGTTCCACAGGTTGACTGTGCATTGTGTGAAAAAATACTTCCTTTTGTATTAAACCTGCTGCCTGTTAATTTCATTTGATGACCCCTAGTTGTGTTATGAGTAAATAACACTTCCTTATTTACTTTCTCCACACCATTCATGATTTTATAGACCTCAATCATATCCCCCTTTAGTTGTCTCTTTTCCAAGCTGAAAAGTCCAAGTCTTATTAATCGCTTTTCATATGGAAGCCGTTCCATACCCCTTTTCTGAACCTTTTCCAATTCCACTATATATTTTTTTAGATGGGGCGACCACATCTGCACGCAGTATTCAAGATGTGGGTGTACTATGGATTTATATAGAGGCAATATAATATTTTCTGTCTTATTATCTATCTCTTTCTAAATGATTCCCAACTTTCTGTTCACTTTTTTGACTGCTGCTGCACATTGAGTGGCTGTTTTCAGAGAACTATCCACAATGACTCCAAGATCTCTTTCTTGAGTGGTAACAGCTAATTTAGATCCTTTCATTTTATATGTATAGTTGGGATTATGTTTTCCAATGTGCATTACTTAGTATTTATCAACACTGAATTTCATCTGCCATTTTGTTGCCCAGTCACCCAATTTTGAGAGATCCTTTTGTAGCTCTTCACAGTCTGCCTGGGACTTAACTCTCTCTTCTCTGTCTGTATCTGTCTCTGTCTTGCTTTCATGCACACAACTCTCTCCCTTTCTTCGATTTTTTTTATTTAAAAAGCCAGCTTCAACATCAGCTCAAGCCACAGACCTTGCCCTCCCAAAGAGGTAGGGACCCAGGCTTGGTGGCAGCTCACAGAGCCCTAGTGCTGATGGGGCATGACACGCCAGATAGTTGCAGGTACTTTACGAGAAGATAAGCTTTTATTGTTTTCTTTCTTTCCCCCTTCCCCATGCTTTAAAATATACCATTACTGCCCCCAGCTGAACACAGGGCAGGCCAGATCACAATGGAAACCCCTAGCTTCAGAAAGGGTTCTTGTTTACATGTACAAGCCTAATTGCTAGAATTGAGGCCAAGGAGAAATTCTCACTAGTATATTGGCAGGTGCTCCAGGATTTTTACCTGCCTCTGGAGCACTGCAGTGGAACCATCTGCTTAAATAAGCTTGGCAAACCCAACATAGTTGGTGTCTCCCAGTTGCACGAACAGGGCAGGAACTGGGAACCATGCTGCCTCTGGCTTTGTCATAGCCTCCAGGCAGCCAGCTCGTGGAGGTGCACCTGGCCAGGCATCAGGACATATCATAAAGTGCCTGGGATCTCCTCTCCTCACAGCCTGATGAGTGGGATTGTGTCTGGCAGAGCCCCAGGGACTGCTACCTGGTTTCTTTGATGAAAATTTTACAGTAGAAAGCTGCACAATGGCTGGGGAAATCTGCAGACTCTACAACACTGAATTTTGCTATCGTACTGAGAAAATCTGGCAGGAATAGTGAGTTAGCCTGGCAGTCTCATCTCTGAATGTCAGGGTATCACATGCATGCACCAAGCTGCTGCAGCATCTCTCCTCTGGACACAGCTGAAGATGGAATAGCAAAGGGTGCTCCGAGTTACAATTGAGATGTATTGGCAGAGCTGTGTGGAGGGTACCCAGTCCTGAAGTAGCAGGAAAGCAGTGTTTAAAGAGAGGGGCCTTCCTGTGCTAGCAAAGGGGAAGGCAGGGGAGCGGCTTCTCTCTGCCGTTTCTCATTTCTCTCTCATCAGCCTGCTCTCAGCCCACAATCTCCCTCCATGGGGGATTGTAAAGTAATGCACATTGGAAAAAATAACCCCAAGTATACATACAATATGATGGGGGCTAATTTAGCTACAACTAATCAGGAAAGATATCTTGGAGTCATTGTGAATAGTTCTCTGAAGACGTCCACGCAGTGTGCAGCAGCAGTCAAAAAAGCAAACAGGATGTTACGAATCATTAAAAAAGGGATAGCGAATAAGACGGAAACTATCTTATTGCCCTTATATAAATCCACGGTACGCACACATCTTGAATACTGTGTACAGATGTCGTCTCTTCATCTCAAAAAAGATATACTGGCATTAGAAAAAGTTCAGAAAAGGGCAACTAAAATGATTAGGGGTTTGGAACGGGTCCTATATGAGGAGAGATTAAAGAGGCTAGGACTTTTCAGCTTGGAAAAGAGGGGGAATATGATAGAGGTATATAAAACCATGAGTGGTGTGAAGAAAGTGAATAAGGAAATGTTATTTACTTGTTCCCATAATATAAGAACTAGGGGGCACCAATTGAAATTAATGGGCAGCAGGTTTAAAACAAAGGAAGTTCTTCACACAGCGCACAGTCAACCTGTGGAACTCCTTGCTTGAGGACGTTGTGAAGGCTAGGACTATAACAAGGTTTAAAAGAGAACTAGATAAATTCATGGAGGTTAAGTCCATTAATGGCTATTAGTCAGGATGGGTAAGGAATGGTGTCCCTAGCCTCTGTTTGTCAGAGGGTGGAGATGGATGGCAGGAGAGAGATCACTTGATCTTTACCTGTTAGGTTCACTCCCTCTGGGGCACCTGGCATTGGCCACTGTCGGTAGACAGGATACTGGGCTGGATGGACCTTTGGTCTGACCCAGTATGGCCATTCTTATGTGGGCATTCTTATATTTTAAGACTATAACTTCATAGAAATTGCCGATAGTGGTTCAGAGACAAACACATAAATATCTGAAAGATAGAAACATATATACAGTCTTACTGCTCATTCGTCCATGCCTTTGTGACCTCTGACCAACCCACTCCAATCTTGGCCATTCTGCTTAAAGACTTCAGTGAGCCAACCGGAAAACAAGTCTTTCCTCCCGTCCAATTCTTTTTTAAAGTCCTGAGTATATTAAAGAACCGTGACAAAGATCAGGCAGCCTTTCCTCCCTCCCAACCATGCTTGTGGGAGCAGTAAGAAACCTCCCTCTTCGTGGCAGCGCTGGCAGGCCCAGGACAAGCCCCCAGCATTCCTCCCACCAACGAAAATACCAGAGGGAGAATCCAGAACAAGACCCAGTGTTTCTGGACAAGAATGTTCTTGGTGCGCAGGATGGGAGAGGGGCTTGAAGGGGCTACAGGGGCATGGGGTGGTGGGATTCTGAGATGGAAAGTTGCTTCTAGATACAAGTGTGGGAAGCGTGTGTATTTGTGAGGTGTTTGGGAAGATGGTGACCACCCTTAGGAACTGCAGGGAGGGGTGTTGTGCTAATGAATGAGCCACTGTATATAAAGCTATTATTACCCCAGGGATGCTGGGTGTCTCTAGGTGCCAGGCTGGCTCAACCCAGAATCTTCAGGGATACAGCTGTGGCTCGGTGGATTGTACAGGAGGGTGTTCGGGGGGCTTGCCCTCTCCCCTCTCATTGCCTGCACAATCCCCCTGCCCCTGAGAATTTTCACTAGTCAGAAATCCTGGGTTGTGGGAAGGTTCCTGCAGGAACTGTTAGGGGGCAGGGGAAGCAGAGAAAGTCATGCTGTTCTTCAGGGTGTTCTGAGAATGGAAAAGAGGCAGGGCTGTGGCCCCCATCCACTCCCCACCACTCTCTCACAATGGCACAATCTGTTCAGAGCATCTGTCCCTGCAGCCAGTGGGGTCCATGCCTCATTATGGTTCCTGCTGCCTCCCTCCCCCATATGCTCACCATAAGTGCTGGGAGAGAAAGAGTAGGGCCCTTAATCCCAGCAGCCCTCTTGCCACCTGGGGGAGTCCATCTCCCCCATCACACATGCACCCCCATCTGTCCCAGGTAGCACAACACTCCAGGCAGTGAGGGCAGCAGAAGGGCAGACCTGTGATCCCTCCCCCAACTAAGCTACTGCGGATGCTGGAGCATTGGTGAGAGAGTCCTCAGGCTTCCCCCTGAGGAGCATGTGTAGCAGGGCTGGCTCACTGACATCCCCTCCTCCCACCGGTTATAGGGGCACATCCTCTTCATCGTCCTCCTCCAGGTCCGTGGAGCGCAGGCTCAGGTCCTTGAGGATGTCTGAGATGTTCTCAGCAGCAGGGCCAGACAGCTCCATTTCCTCCAGCTCAGCGTCAGCAGCTGAGACAGAGTGCAGCCCCTTCCCCTCCTCAGGGAAGGGCGGGGGCTGTGGGGAGGGGGAGCTGGAGGGCAGTGGGCTCCCCATCCCTGAGTCCGCAGCTCCTCTCACAGGCACCACACAGCTGTCCTGCCGGCTCCACACCTGTGAAACCTGGCTACTCTGCTCATTGCTGACCGAGGTCCGATTGGTGTCTCGGAAGCTGGCGAGGGGCGGACGGAGGCGGACGCCAGAGCGCGTGGAGCCCTCAATTGCCTTCTGGAGCTATTGGAGGGGCAGAAGGTCAGAAGAACAGAGAGGGAATTAAAGGGCAGCTGATAAACCACAGCACAACAGTTCAGCTACTCTCCAAAATAACGGGGCAGGAGACTAGCCCCTGGAGAGATCAGATTTTGCATTGCTATAGTGCCTTTCATCCCACAGCACTTGGCAAACTCCAAACCTCAGTGTAGCCACTTCTGGGAGGGACACTGGCTAAACGGATCCGGCACGGGCCACACAGGTAAGAGCCCGTCTCTCACAAAAAGGACTGTCACTAGGGGATCTTTAATATCCATGTAAAGCAGACAGGCCCTTGGTTTGTTAAGGCTCCTTCTGAAAAACTCACATCCAGGAACACAATTTCTCCCCTCAGAAGGGAAAATGACTAAGTCAGTGCTGCCAGGACTTGAAACTGGAATGCCTGGAAATGTACTGACTGCAGAGCTGAAACTTCCATCCCAAAGCTGGTTCTCGTCTGCTGTGGGATATTGCGATAACACAGAGAACGTCTGGGGCTGAGCAGGAGGTGGGAGTGTCTGCATGAAAACTTGACTGTATTTACCTCTTCCAATGCCAGCACTCCCTTCAGCTTCCCCTTACTGGTCACATAGGCATGGCTGAGGCCCAGCAAGGAGAACAAGGTGTGTGTCTGTGGGAGAAAACACAAGAGAATCTCCATTACCAGTCACCTAGGGCTTGATGTCCTCAAAGGCTGGGAATGAGAGTCTTGGCGCTAAGCCTAGGCCTGAGATCCCCTCTGGGCTCCAAAGCTAGAAGTGGGAATCCCAACTCAAATTCCTTTGGGTTTGGCTCCACCCTGGTAAGAAGCTGCCCTAGGAGTGGGAAATTTAATGCTAATCCTCAGTGAGTAGCCTCACTGCACTTGCAGAGTGGTTAGTGGGACTCCGGGGGACCTGGAACTCCTGGTATATACCTGTAGTTAGCCCAGAGCAGCAGTCCCATACAGCTTAAATATTCCTTTTATTCCTGGGACTTCTAATCAGCCAGGACTCCCCTCAGGTCACACTGGTGCAAGCTTGGAGGGCTTTAGGGACACCCAGAACATTCTCACACCAACTCACATCCCCACACCTGGCATATGGCTACGAGGGTGCAGATCCCAGTCCACTCAAGGACCAATGCACAGTGGGGTAGATCCTGCTGTGCTTTGGAGCGGATAGTGGATCCCAGCAATGATATAATCAGTGACAGACCCCTAATAAATACAGTGATAGAGGCATGCAGATCCCATTGCACTCTGAGGCAGGGAGTGTGAATCCCAGTATTCATGTGCTGGGATGGAGGTCCCTGGTCCCAGAGGGGCCAGGAGTGTGAATCCCACCCCCACTGCTGCATATGGATCTTGCAGCACTCAGATGGCTAATGTATGAAACCCATCATTATTGTATCATTGCTTTCACAAACATCTGAGGCTGCTGCTGCACTCCGTGCCTAGGAGTGGGAATCCCAGTGCTAATGTGTGTGTATCTAGACAGCCCCCAGAGGCTGGGAGAGGGAATTCCAACACTAATGCAATGGCTGGCGGATCCTAGTGTGGTTCTCTGAAGCTCTTTTATTAAACTAATCTGCTCATGTTCCAGGAGACTGCAGTCAGACACTGTGCTGATGGGAGTTCAGTGAGCTTCTCAGATAGAGATGGCGACAGAGAGAGAGCAAGAGAGAGAAAAATGCAAAGCGAGGGGAGGGAGACAGGGAGAGGGAAGGGGATGAGCCCTAGGGTGGGCTAGCACAGAGACAGACAAGTTGGAGAAGGATGGACAGTAGCTGGGAGGGAGGTCAGACCCACCTTGTGCAGGGAAGTCCTCTCCACTAGCTGAAAAGGGGAGGGGTCTATGCGGCAGCTGTCAAAGCACACCTCCTTATTCAGCTCGTCCTGCTTCCATGCATCTATCTGACACAGGGAAGAGGGGATCACACTCACAGTGACCAACACTGCTCCCAGCCCATACTCCAAGCCGCCCCGGTCTCCTGCTGCTGTTTCCCCCTCCTCCTCATCTGCCGCCCCCACTATATTATTCCTCTGAGGTTTCCCATCCCTCCAGCATGAGCTGGGGCCTCCCCTTGGAAACGTGGTGGTGCTGCAGTACTAGAGGTGCCATTGATTGACATGCCCCCAGCAAGGGTGACACAGTAGCCAGGAAGGTGAGGGCTTCCTCAGGCCTGCTTAGAGGGGATGAGAGCTCCCTGTCTCTCCTTCCTGAGCTCTCCCTGCCCCAGTCACTTCAGGATAGGCTGCCCCATTTCCATGGGTTGAGGGGATAGTTTCTCTCAGGATGGCTTCTCCTTGCAGCATATGAGCATATCCTGGCCACTGGACCTTCCCAGGAAGGAGACAGCTTCCAGGGATGAGAGGAGAACCAGCCCCCCAGTCCTCATCCAGACTTACCTCCTCTGGCTTCATTGTATCTATAACCTCTACATACTCCTGGGGAGAACAGAAAACACAGCCACGGTCAGCGAAAGAGTACACAGCCCTAACTCCACAGCAAAACCCTGGAGTGCAAGACCCCCTTATTCCTAATCTCAGCTGTATCGCCCACTTTCCAGCAACTAACCCTCCCTTCCCCCCCCCCACTCATCCCTAAGCCCAGAAAGTAGCCATTATACTCAGGGTCCCTCTCTTCCTGCTAGGGTGACCCAGACAGCAAATGTGAAAAATCGGGATGGGGGTGGTAATAGGAGCCTATATAAGAAAAAGACCCAAAAATCGGGACTGTCCCTATAAAATCGGGACATCTGGTCACCCTACTTCCCGCTCACTCCTAATCCCACTGTGCACCCCCCAGATACTCAGGGACCCCCATCTTTCCCTGGGTGTCATTGTCATGGACGGTGGAATCTGTGCACTGGGATGCTACTGACCTGCACACGGGTGCAGGTCCTGGTTTGGTGTGGGGTTTTGCTTAGTCTACTCTTGATGCCTTTTGGACAGCCCCCTTGGCCTACACTTTCTTAGGCTACGTCCTCACTACGGGGGGGGGGGTCGATTTAAGATACGCAAATTCAGCTACGCGAATAGCGTAGCTGAATTCGACGTATCGGAGTCGACTTACCCCGCTGTGAGGACAGCAGCAAATCGACCTCTGCGGCTCCCCCGTCGACGGCGCTTACTCCTACCTCCCCTGGTGGAGTACAAGCGTCGATTCGGAAATCGAATGTCGCGTCCCGACGAGACGCGATAATTCAATCCCCGAGAGATCGATTTCTACCCGCCGATTCAGGCGGGTAGTGTAGACGTAGCCTTAGATCTGAACAGATCATCATGAAGCCTGCCTCAGTACCTGCAGTTTTCTGTCTGCTTCCTTCCCCAGAGTTGGTGAAGAGCTCTGTGTAGCTTGAAAGCTTGTACCTTCCACCAACAGAAGTTGGTCCAGTAAAAGATATGACCTCACCCACCTTGTCTCTCTCAGTACTAGCAGCACAGACAGCACCTAGCCAGAAGGATCCTCACTTCCCCATGCATGCCATGGCCATCCTCTTCTGCGGAAATCCCTAATCCTTTACCAGGAGCTCAGTGTAACAAAGTGAGGATTTTTCCTTGTTATGTTGTATGTGAGTGTATGTGAATCTTACTGTTGAGCCTATGTGAGTCTTACTGTGTGTGCCTCAGTTTCCCTCTGTGCTGCACCAATGCCTAGGTGGTGGGAATAAGGGTGTGTGACTTTGGCTGAGACCCTCAGGGGCAGGTGAGGCTGCTTCAGTTGCCTGCATGTAGGCTATGGCCGGTGCCCTTCGTAACCTGAGACCCAGGAGGGGAATGCAACCAGGTGACACATTGCCTGGGAAGCAAGACAAAGACCAGAAGGAGGAGGAACGGGGGTGTCTGAGATCGGGTCGCTGGTAGCTGGGCGGTCTGCTTGGGGGGCTGCAGGGGGGAGTCCAGGGCATCTGGCCCAGGATTCCCCCAAGATGGACTTGGCTGAAAGTCACTGATTTCTGTGCTAACAAGTTCTGTTCTACACTGTGTTCCTGTCGACTAATAAACCTTCCGTTTTATGCTGGTTGAGAGTCACTGCTGACTGCGGAGTTGGGGTACAGGGCCCTCTCGCTTCCCCAGGAGCCATGCATGGGCAGACTCACTACAGGAAGCGCACGGTGTGGAAGGGGATGTTGAATGCTCCAAGGTCAGGAAGGTCGTAGCTGTGTAAGCTTCTTGCCCTGGCGACAGTATGCTCAGAGAGAGGAGGCATGCTCCCCCAGAGTCCTGGCTGGCTTCCTATGGAGTAGTTCCAGAGCATTGGCCCGGTGACTCTTTAACAACTGGTGGGAGCGGTGGGATAAACTGCACCCGGTGGACAGTGCATCCTGCAGTAAGTGACTGGGGAGCAGTAAAATTAAGGTGGGATTCACGGGAGATAGGCGTGCAAAAGGCTCAGTGAGGTGTGGTTCCAGGAGGCAGAGGAGCCTACAGCTTAACCCCCGAGAGAGATTGTGACCCCTAAGAAGTGCTGTCGCACTGAAGGGGTTCCTCCCAGGGACCATGGGGAGCTGAGAGAGCACAGGCCTGTGAGTCCCTGACAACTTGGGAACAGCGAAGAGATGGCCTATAACCATCTCCTTCAGAAGAACATTGTACAGCTTTGCAGAGAAAGAGAGGGCTGCGCATTGGAAAGTTCACCAAGGCACAGCTAATGGCTCAGCTGGAAAAGGATGATCGCTCTAAGGAACCGGTTCTTGACCCAACTGGGGCCACGAGAGAGGCTGGGAGCAGCCAGGCAGCCCGAGGGCCCACATCGGTTCCTGATCCAGCTGTGGCCGCAAGAGAGGTTGGGAGCAGCTGGGTGCCCCTGAGACCCGTGTCCCCGACCAGCAAGGGGTCTCCACCGGATTCCCTGCTGGTGGATCTGAGAGGGATGGAATTGGAGCTGATATCAAAGGAGTCAGAGGACTGTGAGAGACAGGGAAGGCATGAGGCAGAACAGCAGGAGAGACAGTGGCAGCAGGAACTGGCGATGGCTGAGCTGAGAGGTAGAGGGACCTGTCCAGGGGATCCAGGCCCTGCTCCTGTAACGGTCGAGGATTTAATTTGAATCCAGGGAACCAATCAGCTGAGACTGAAGTGGTCAGTGTAAATGCAAATGGCAGAGAGGAGGAGTTGCTAAGCTCAGGTGCCCTGCCTGTCTGTAACCAGACCCCTGGAGCTGAGTGGGACAGAGAGATGCTCCCTGCCCCTTTGCACGGAGTGGCGGGGGTGGGGGGGAGGTGGCTCATGCTGGCTCTGATACTGTGACCAAAGCAGCAGGATCACTGCCTGCCCTCTCTGGGACAGCAGGGGCGAAGCTGAGCCCAGGGGGATCAGAGACCCCAGCTGAGTGTGGGGAACCACAGCCAGGGCGGGACAGCTGCCAACCAGGGCTGCCTTGTCTATAGGTGCAGGAGACCCCAGGGAAGTGGGAAGCAGCTAAAAGGGCACTACTGGTGACAGAGACGCCTGGTCAGAGGGTGGCCAAGATCAAGATGGGGGCTCTTTACCAAGAGAGCCCGAATCCCAGCGCTCCCATCTGGAGGGCTGTGACTGCAGGCAGCGAGAGGAAACTGGTTTCACTCCCCTCTACAGCCGTTGAATTCCGGGCCGAGCTGTGGAAGGACCACTCCTTAGAGAAGCTGAAGGAACTTTCTAGCCACAGCCCAGTGCAAACCCTGGGGGAAGACTGCCGGGAAAGATTCCAATGGGAGAAGGGATTCCTGTACCGGGAATGGGCTCTGCCAGGGGAAGTGGAACTGTGGGGGATCTGGAGGCAGCTGGTGGTCCCCCAGAAGTACCGCCACAGGCTGCTGTACCTGGTCCACGATGTCCCTCTCTCGGGACACCAGGGGAACCAGTGCACCAGGCAGAGGCTGCTACAGAACTTTTACTGGCCCGGAGTCTGCGACGCCATCCAGCAGTACTGCAGGTCCTGCAACCCCTGCCAGAGGGTGGGGAAGGCCCGAGACAAGAGTAAAGCAGCCTTGAGACACCTGCCTGTTATAGAGAAGCCTTTTCAGAAGGTGGCCATGGACATAGTGGGGCCCCTCAGCAAGGCGACTCTGGCAGGGAAGAAATACATTCTGGTGAGGGTAGATTTCGGTACCTGTTACTCAGAGGCGGTGGCTCTATCCTCTATTGAGGCAGACACTGTAGCAGATGTGCTGCTGACAGTTTTCAGCAGAGTGGGGTTCCCCAAGGAGATCCTTACAGACCAGGGGTCCAACTTCATGTCAGCCCGGCTCCAGTGCTTGTGGGAGAAGTGTGGGGTCCAACACACCTGGGCCTTGGCGTATCACCCTCAGTCCAACCAGCTGGAGTAGAGATTTAATGGGACCCTGAAGATGATGCTGAAAAGGTTCCTGGACCAGCATCTGGGACAATTATTTACCCCACCTGCTGTTCGCGTACAGGGAAGTACCCCAGGAACCCATGGGGTTCTCTCCTTTGCAGTTTCTGTATGGGAGGAGAGTGAGGGGACCCCTGGACTTGGTGAGGGACGAATGGGAGGGGAAGGCCTCTCCTGATGAAAAATCAGTGGTGGAGAATGTACTGACTTTCCAGGGAAAGCTTGCTGAGCTCATGGGTCTGGCCCAGGAGAACCTAGCCAAGGGAGGCAAAAGGTCTGGTATGACTCCTCACCTGCTCCTATGGCACCGGGGACCAGGTGAGGGGTCTCATCCCAGTGAGGAAGAATAAGCTGCAAGCTGCCTGGGACGGGCCCTTTAAGGTCATCACCCAGCTGAATGAGATGAACGATGTGGTGGAACTGCCCAACTGGGCTCACAGCCACCGAGTGTACCATGTCAACATGAGTGCCTAGTATTAAATGAGGATATTGATATAATAGGCATCACAGAAACCTGGTGGAATGAGGATAATCAATGGGACACAGTAATACCAGGATACAAAATATATTGGAAGGACAGAACAGGTCGTGCAGGGGGCGGAGTGGCACTATATGTGAAAGAAAGTGTAGAATCAAATGAAATAAAAATCTTAAATGAACTACATTGTACTACAGAATCTCTATGGATAGTAATTCCATGCTTGAAAAATAAGAATATAGGAGTAGGGCTATATTACAGACCACCTGACCAGGATGGTGTTAGTGACTCTGAAATGCTCAGGGAGATTAGAGAGGCTATTAAAATAAAAAACTCAAAATAATAATGGGGGATTTCACCTATCCGCATATTGACTGGGTATATGTCACCTCAGGAAGGGATGCTGAGATAAAGTTTCTTGACACCTTAAATGACAACTTCTTGGAGCAGCTGGTCCTGGAACCCACAAATGGAGAGGCAATTCTTGATTTAGTCCTAAGTGGAGCACAGGATCAGGTCCAAGAGGTGTATAAGCTGGACTGCTTGGTAATAGTGACCATAATATAATTAAATTTAATATCTCTGTGGCGGGAAAAACTCCACAGCGCCAAAAGTAAAATCCCTGCAAGCTGC